GAGAACACATCACACCTGTAATTCCAGCACTTTGGGAGGCCAAGGCGGGAGGATCATGAGGTCAAGAGATCAAGACCATCCTGGCCAACATGGTGAAACCCCATCTCTACTAAAAATACAAAAATTAGCTGGGCACGGTGGCACGCACCTGTAGTCCCAGCTACTCGGGAGGCAGAGGCAGGAGAATCGCTTGAACCTGGGAGGTGGAGGTTGCACTGAGCTGAGATCATGCCACTGCATTCCAGCCTGGCGACACAGCAAAACTCCATCTCAGAAAAAAAAAAAAAATGAGAACACAGGTTCACAAAGAATACGATAAAGAAAATGAAAGAATGAGCCACAATTTGGGAGAAGAGATTTGCAACATACATAACCAACAGAAAATTAATATCCAGAATAACTTTAAAAGATAAACTATTTAGGCCGGGCGCGGTGGCTCAAGCCTGTAATCCCAGCACTTTGGGAGGCCGAGACGGGCGGATCATGAGGTAAGGAGATCAAGACCATCCTGGCTAACCCGGTGAAACCCCGTCTCTACTAAAAAATACAAAAAACTAGCTGGGCGTGGTGGCGGGCGCCTGTAGTCCCAGCTACTCGGGAGGCTGAGGCAGGAGAATGGTTTGAACCCGGGAGGCGGAGCTTGCAGTGAGCCGAGATCGCGCCACTGCACTCCAGCCCGGGCGACAGAGCGAGACTCCGTCTCAAAAAAAAAGAAAAAGATAAACTATTTAAAGTTTAAACATTTTTAAAAGACACATGGCCCAATAGAAAAATGACAAGAAATAGGAACAAGCATTTTACAGGAGAGAAAATCCTAATCATGATAATGTTATACATACTAAGTCAGCAGAAATTAAGAATCTAATAATACCCAATGTCAAAAAGGATTTGGATCAACAGGAACTTTTAATACATTAACATAATCTCTTTAGAAAACAATTCAAGTCAAACATTTGCCTACATGGATACAGCACTTTCCACTTAGATTTATATTCCAGAGAAATTCTTGCACATAGATAAGAAGACACAAGAATGTCCAGTATGGTTCTCAATGGCAAAGACAGGCAGGAAAAAAGGAGGGAAGAAAGGGAGGGAGCGAAGGAGGGAGGGAGGAAAAAAAAGAAATGAAATCCAAATACTCATCAACAAGAAGATAGATTTTAAATTCTGGTGTATTCATACCACCAATCACAGCAGTGAAAACAAATGAACTACACACAAGGGTGAATCTTAGCCATACATGAGTGAAAAAAATCAAGTTTCAGAAGACAATCAGCAGGAGGATTCCTTTGTCATGAAATAACCTAAATAAGTAGTTTAGGGAAACACACCTATGTGATTAAACTACTTCTTAAATAAGAGACTGGTAAACCTAAACTTCCGGCAGGTGGTTCCCGCTGGGTCAGGCAGATGCTAGAGTGGGGAAGAGGCACAAGGGCACAGTTTCCCTGATTTCCCTGGGTGAAGGGTTCAAATGCGTCCACTCTGCTGATACAATTCATGATTAACATTGCCTTTATTCCTTTGTATGACTCAACTGATACAGCCAAAAAATTCAGAGATGTTCTACAGGCAAATCCAGTCTAGGACCCTAGAAGGCAAAGGCTCTGCAAACCTGCAGATGTGTAGGAGGCTAGAAAGAAATTACATATAGGGTTTGGGGTTCAAGTGTGCAGCTTTCCTACAAGCAGCAATGCTGAATGGGACATTTAGTCACAGGTTTACATCTCCTCTAAGCCTCCAAATGCACTAATTATTGCTACAATAAATAACGACATGATTACAGTGTGAGGCAGTTTTTTTCTACTTTTAGAACCAACCTATAGACAAAGCTCAGGACACTTAATGATAGCTTCAGAATACATTGTAAATGTCGTAAAACCTTACTTTCTTAAAAAAGTAATATAACTCTTCAGAATACATTATGTTAGAAAGCCTTAATTCCTAAAAAATATAACTCTTCAGACTGCAATGTCAATGCTACAAAACTTTATTTTAAAAAGTAATATACCCAGTACTTTGGGAGGCCAGGCAGATTGCTTGAGCCCAGGAGTTCGAGATCAACTTGGACAACATAGGGAGACTCCATCTCCAAAAAAAAAAAAAAATCAGGCCGGTGCAGTGGCTCACGCCTGTAATTCCAGCACTTTGGGAGGCCGGGCAGATCACGAGGTCAGGAGATCGCGACCATCCTGGCTAACATGGTGAAACCCCATCTCTACTAAAAATACAAAAAATTAACCAGGCGTGGTGGTGGGCGCCTGTAGTCCCAGCTACTTGGGAGGCTGAGGCAGGAGAATGGCATGAACCCAGGGGAGGCAGAGCTGGCAGTGAGCCAAAATCACACCACTGAACTCCAGCCTGGGTGACAGAGCGAGACTCTGTCTCAAAAAAAAAAAAAAATTAAGAATTAGCAAGTTGTGCTGGCACACACTGGTAGTCCCAGCTGCTTGGGAGGTTGAGGTGGGAGAATTGCTTGAGTCCAGGAGGCAGAGGCTGCAGTGAGACGACATGGCATCACTGCACTCCAGCCTGGGCCACAGAGCAAGACCCTGTCTCAAAAAATAAAATAATAAAAAAGTAATATAACTACTCAGAACATATTGTAAATGTTACAGAAGCTTCTTTGTAAAAGTAACTACCATGAGATGGAAACAGGGAAAAATAAAAGCGAAGGGAGGGTAAGGGCGTGCAATTTTTTGTCCTTCATGGGAGAAAATAAATACCAACTAAAGCTGAAACATCAAGATGTGGAAATTTAATTAGGTTACTGAGAATTACAAGCCTATCCAGGAGGCAAACTGATGGGACCCTCTGCGGGAGCGGGGAGGACAGCAGGAAAGATGTTTCCTTTTTCCCCCTGCCATGCCTCCTGGGGCGTCTGAGGTCCGCATGGCCAGTCACTGAGCAGCACCGGCCCCTCGAGCCTCCCGTGCACTCCACAGCCACAGCCTGGCCTCAAGAAAGAACACAGCCTGGCTTCACATGACCTTCGATCACTAAACTTTGATTCAAATGCTAACCAGAAATGCCTGCACGTCCAGGCCCAGATTTTTAGAATTGTCCTTTGTATCCACTGTGAGCTTTGTATCCACGGTGAGCTGCAGAACACAAACCCAGCAGACAGCACCTAATGGTGCCACCGAGTAACCATATTCCCGTTGCTAGTTTTGATTCCAGGAGACCCAAGTGACCCCACCTGAAACCAAACAGGCGCAGGGATAGATGCAAGGAGCATCTCGGTGAACTTCTAGAAGCAACTGTCTCTCTCCCACCAGAACATAAGCTAAGAAGCAAATAGCTCCCACTGTTCTCAGCACAGCTGCACAATTAAAAGCAGAACCAGTTTCAGGATGAGGCCAACAAGGTGAACAGTGCAGGAGAACACAGCAAGGATCTCAGTCCTGGAGGAGGCACCTGCAGAGCAGAGCCCTTCCAAGCAGAGTGAAGAAGTCTTTCAGAGGCAAAGGCTCCCAGAGAGGGGTTCAGTACCCAGAAGAGTAGATGGACGTGGGCCTGGAGGGGCCAAGCACGACCCCAGAGCCTCCTAAAATTAAGACTCCTGCCCAGTCTTAATTTTATCCCCAAAATGAACTTTTAAGGATTTAATGCTTAGGAGTAACATGGCCAGATACGCATTTTACAAAGACTACTCCAGGGACCATGTCAGGGCAAGGCTGGAAAGCAGAAGAAAAGCTACAGTAATCCAGGCAAGAAATTATAAAGTCTTAAGGTAGCAGCAGAAGGATGAAGAGAGGGAACCCCTAAGAGAAAAATCGACATCCAATGGTACTGATGCGGAAGGTAAGGACGAGAAAGGTCTCAAGACGGCAGCGCAGGCCCCTGCCCTAGTCTGGGAAAGAAAAACTCGTGAAAAGATTAAGGCTCAAGTCCAGGTCTGGGCTGGAACCAGGAGCGCTGGCGGCGCGCGCCCCCCACCCC